GGGATTGAGGGGTTTTGGGGAGTTTTGCTGATAGCGCGGTTTCACGAGGAATTCCAGGTGGAACTGGGGCGCGAAGCTTGACATCATTGTTTAACTCACACGCAGGCTATGGTATTTGCTCGATTCGTGGGATTTAATACCGGGATTTTGGTGCACTCGGGGAATTTCGTCACGAGGGGCTTGACATCAATCGACGAATTTTAAGAATTGAAAATCCAAGAATTTACTGATCATTTGAAAAATCAACGTTTCAATGAAATGGATAAAGATAAAAATGTGAAAGGATTAATTCTATGAGAGCATTTTAGATTATCGAATGGAAAAAAAATGATAAATTTAAATTTAAAACGGAATGGGCATTGTTATGTTGCCTTTAGTAATTTTAATCTGGTGAATTTTCACGATTCTAAAAGGCCCCGTGAATCATAACCATAAAGATAGGGGTACCGATAGTGATGCCATTGTGAAAGACAGATTTCTCCCCACGACATAATTATGCACAACCTCTGACTCACCGAGTCAACCACAATTTCGCCGAATCCCCCCAGTGCCACATCCCAACCACCGATTTCCAACAATGCAATCTAAAAAAACTAAGCCTGAAAGCCTCGAGGAAAAACATCGGGTTATTTGCCAGATCCCAGTGAATCATCACCAGGACGATTTTGTTCCCATTCTGCGTCGTTCTTGGATTCTTCGTAACAAAATTCCCACGAACGCAAGAATAATCCCGGGTGATTTTCCGGTTTATTTTTTTTTTCCCCGTTACTGGTCATTGCGTATTGGAATGAACGTGGGTGTCACTTAGCTATTTATTGAATGAAAAATGAGACGAGAATTGAAACGAATTCGACCTAAAACTCGAAATGAAAGGGGAAACTTTTATTTCTTTTCTTTTTTTTTTCAATCAAAGAAGAGCGGGGGGGTTGATTGAAATTGAGATTGAGAAAAAAAAAAGCTAATATCCCGTGTTAATTTCCTCGACCGCGAGGCATGAAGAGGAACGAATGAGAAAAACCTGAGGGATGAGCACCACTAGAATAGAGATGAGAAATAGAGTGAACCAGACAGGTGTATTCCCGGAAATGCCTCGAGTCAGCCAACCCTGGGATCGAAACGACTACGGGGTATAAGAAGGGTCGTGTTCTCTACCCAGGGGTAAAACCCATCAAACAGTCTGATGGGAATAAAAATCCACGTAGAGGTCTATCTCAGCAGGTGCACGGAAATTCTTCGCTTCGTGGGACACCCCCTCGATTTTTCCTTCTCGCTCTGACGCTCGACAATTATTCATAAAAATAATTATCAATAAGGAAACTTTTTTTTATGGTACCTCGAGAAGAAATAAAGTCACCACAACCGATTTATCCCGAGAACTATCGATCCGCGGTGAAAATGTGAAAGGACTTTTTTTGTCGGTGATTAAATTTCCGACGAAAGATGTCTCTTGACATTTTTCTCTGAGATCAATGATTTTCAGATAAATCAATATTGGACTGTTGATGGAATTTTCGAGTGATTTTATTTTGAATGTTCGTTGATGAAATTATTTCTATCGGAATTAGATGGAATAAAATCGTGAGAAATGGTTGCGTTTGGACGAAAAATTGTCGAGGCTTTTTTTTTTAATGGATTTTTTTATCGAGAGTTGGTCGATTATTGGATGGAGTATTCAGCCCCAGAGAAGGAGAGTCAGACGATTTTGGGCGGATGTATTTTCGTCCCGAAGCCTTCCTTCACCCGGGCCATCCCCTCTTTTATTTCTGTTATTACCGCCCCGTCACACGGATTTTACGTGAGGCCACGTGAATACTCGGCTAATAGTGGGTGCTGGGTAATCAACCCCTCGGTGATAAAATCGTCACGCTATTTTAAATCTCAACCCGCAGGAAACGCTGGGGAATTTGAATAAAAATACCGAGGGTTAGAGAGGTAATAATAACGAAGTGGAAGGGATTTGGTACGATGCACTTGTCGCTTTATCCGTCCGATCTAAACTAAATTTTGTGTTCAATTTCACGAGAATTTTTACGCTTTGAATTTCATTTTAAAAATCAAGAAATAATTTGGTTTTACTCTAATTCGCTCGTTTCACTGGAAATCAAAACAACATTTCAATTTCTACGAAAACAACCAAATAAAAAAACCGAGATAATATTAACCCCTTTAAATCCTCACTATCTCCGCGGTAAATCTCAGATTTCTACTTATCACTTCTATTTTAACTCGGAATGAAGTCTCCGAAAATAATTGTTTTCAAATTGCACGATTCCACTCAATAAATCCCTACTAACAGATTTCCTCCGAGATGACAAAAAATATGACCCCCGACCAACGGCCTGCAGTAAAGAATTCAAATTTCGCATTTTAAACCTCAAGAAAATGAAATCAGTGATGGCAGAGCAAAGGGTAAAAGTTTACCGTTTCCCCACTCGTGTTTTTGATAAATAACTGTAGATCTAAGATAGATACCGAGATTTTTTCAAGACCATTATTGTGCCTAAAATTGAGGCCGACAAAAAAGTCCTCACAGAAAAATCGCTACCACCTTCAGATTTCGAGATATATTTTTCAAAAACTTAAACACCAGTTAAATCGACTGACTCCCTTTCACGTTTAGGTTCTGAGTTGAGTTTTAAAAAATTGCCATTAAATTTCAGTCAAAATCCCGACAACTTTCCTGTGAATACCCTGTCCGCTCAAAAACAATATTTCATCATTTCGTAATTTGGTGGGAGTTGAATTGCGTGGGTAATCCGTTGAGGTTATGGATACGGTCGAGTGGGGCTGATAGGCCGAGGCGCGTAGGACCACGTGGCACGAGGTGCCCTGGTAGGAGGTGAACCCCCAAAACCCGACGATCTAATTAAATTCCTACTAAAATCCCCAATCAAGTTCCTAAGGGTAAAGAAAACCCATTGAAATCCACCAAAAAGTAATTCTTCCCAATCAAAACCCCTAATCAAAAAATAAAAAACCGAAAAAAAAAAAAAAAATAAACCTGTCCTAAATCCACCCTCACGTCCCCCACACCTCAAATCCATCCCCATAACCCCCGAAAATCCCCATAAACCCCCTACAACCCACAAAAATCCCGACGGATCCCACCCCGCGAAAAATTTCAGAGTCCCTCCCCACCCCAAAAAAAAATTCGAAATAATAAAATTACGCGACAAAAACAGTTTATAGCTGGCGCTCACCTGTTGGCTCCAGATAAATAAGCCACGGGGCACGGAATAGTCACAGGAGTAATAGTCACTCACTCCGTCACTAACACTCAAAAAAAAGGTAATAATAAAATAAGGAAAAAAAAAAGTGAAGTACGCCTTCGTTTCCTTGAAGTTGTTGCACGCAACCCGCGCGCTCCGGGGGAAAGAAACGTACTGAAGGGGAGCAAAGGAGTCACTCGGTGAATGGACAACGGGGGAGTCGAGGAGGTGAGTGGGGGGTGAATATGCGCGCGCGTTTTAACCAACACTGGCGCAACCTAGGGGGCGGGTGGGGCGAGAAAAACACGGGACAGACGGGGTGGAGGGAGGCTATCTGGAGGGAGGATGGACGGCGATCGTACTGAGCCTCGGGATTTTATGGAAGTCGAAAACCGAGTCAACCCGAGTGAGAACGAATACCAACACCCAACTTTTGCCGGACAGACAACCCCGGGTATTATATTTTAACACGGGGCGTTTGGGTGTTGGCGCCTATGGGTTACGTATCTCCGGGGGAAGAAATTTTTTTCCATTTTTCGAGTGTCACCCTTAATTTTCCAATAAATCATAGAATAATTCATTCCGATAAAAAAATATATATTGGTGACTAAAGTACCCTACATCTGAGAGTTTACGACGATTCTATATTTTCTAACTTTATCCTAAATACCAGCGTATGAAATTCCCCTAAATACCAAATTTTTTTAAATTGTACAATTTCTCTCAATTCTTAAAAATTGACAAGTCCCACATAAATTGAAAAATTGTCTAAAACCCCTAAAGGTCCTCCACCAACCTCAAAAAAATGCCTCAAACCTCAAAACTCAAAACCCAAAAAGAAAATTTCACAAAAATTTCCCTTTACATCAACAATTTCCCTTCACCCCTCAACCCACCTCCCCCCAACACATGTTATTGTTTATCCAGATTGTTTTGATCTGAGCTCACGTGCGCGTTAAAAACCGCGCAAAATTGTCTGACTGCGCCAGCGCCTTCTTTTACTACTCGAGACTTGCGGCAGCTCTAAAAATCCACCCAAGGGGTCGCGATGCGGGCGGGGTACCCCACCCACTGCAAAGCCCCTCTCCCTCCCCCCATTAAATAAAAAAAAAAAACCCTCTCTGCCCCCACCCCCTGCCCCCCTCGCAACACCGCAAAATACGGTTCTGCTCGGAAACATTAACATTCCTCCAGCCTTTTACGCTCTCATTCTCCCTTCAGGTTTTCACCTCCGAGAAAAAAAAAAGTGGAATTATTCTCCGGGTACTCTCGGTAGTAATATCGATTCCGTCGTTGCCGCCGGGGTAGCACCGCCCGATGGCAACGACCCTGCACGGCCCCCCGAGAACCCGCACCCGTGACATCAATACAATCTCCAACTCAACACCCAAAACTCCCCGTGCCAAAACCCCCAAATTTCCCCCTCGAAAAATCATTATCGCCATTCCAAAAATTCACCTCATCATTCACTGATCACAAAACCAATAAATAAATAAATAAATAAATAAATAAATAAATAAAAGCATTAGCCTAAAATTACATTCGACAACAATTCCTCGACTAAAACCTAAACGTTCGTAATCACCCTCACCAGAAATATCGCACACGAAAAGAGAAAAATAAAAAAAAAACACGGCACCAACCACCTCCCACCCCACCCCTCCCTGTCCGCCCAGCTCCACCCCACGATATATTCAAACAATCCCCGATAAATTCACTGTGTTATCGTGGAAAAAGAGGGCGCGTTGGGTTAAAATAAAGTGTTGTAAATCACTGATAACAAACACTTACCCTTTATCATTCTAAACACCAGGATGCCGTTGATGGTGTAGAAAAACCCAGTGGGGTTGAATCGAGAACAACAGTAACGCTCGACGGGGGAGACGGTGGGCGACTTGGCAGTGCGCCTAGGACGCCATGTCAGCAAGTCCTCCTACGGTTTCGTTATTATTCGTTAAACTCCGGTTAACATCGGATATACCGATGGGGATTGGCCCATCAGTGTTGGTTAGTAATTCATGGTGCCGCCACCACACGGTTAAAACGAAATCTCGCCTACGCCCCGTACCACGAGGTACATGAGAATACTCCGTTCAACTTGGCAATCACCAGTTCTCCGGTTAACGTACAACCCGCATCCCATTCGCGCGCCCTCGTTCAACCGTATACCTTAGAATGCCTACGTACATTGGAAATATACCGCGGCTTTTACTGTTGGTTATCCCTGACAAGAGAGAGACATATCGAGGGATAGGATGGCGAGAGGAGGATGGGGTGAGACGGTTATGGCGTGACTAGTCGACCCCTTCGGATGCGCTCGAGGCTGTCCTCGTCTAGGCTTGCGGACGGAGGGGCAGGAAGTGGAGAGGAGCACCCTCTTGTCTTCACCCTGGACTCAATGCGCTCTTTGTTGGGTCTTCGACTGGCAGGGGGAATTGAGGGGGAATATTACCCCTTGGGGCAATGCCAGCCGGATTTGGGGTTGAGAATCATGGGAGAATTGAAATTTTTCACTTTCTAGTGGTGTTAAACAGAGGTACGCGTACTTGCTGCAGGTTTATCATTGCACATACAATATATACGTGTATATGTATCTGAATCAGACGGATATGCGTATTAATGTTATCGCAATGATAATCCGCAAGCGAAGTGAAAGATTCACCCGAATTCGGGGTGCGTACTTGGCGCACGTCTCGAATTTTTTTAGTTTTTTCGGAATATTTCCGGAACTAGAGGAGATACCGAAATTTTTGTTGAACATATTTTGTTGAGCGCGATGAAGACTAGAAAAAAGTCTCATCAGGCATTTTGGTATCTCCCGCGGGTTCGAAAATATAAAAAAAAATTCTGCACCGATGAGAGGGTAAAAAATTAATGCGTTTTTAGCATGAGTTTAAAGAGGAAACACGATAATAATGGTGTTATAGCCGCAAGTAGGTATAGAGAAAGGCGTAAGAGCCATAGAAAGTATGGATATTTTCTCTCGTGTTTTCTGGCAATCGACTCAATGCGCTCTTTGTTGGGGTGAACTGGGGATTTCGGGGAACGTATCCCTTGGGGCAATGTGAGCCGGATTTCGAGGGGTTGGGAATGCTGGTAGGATCAGGAATTTTTCAGGGTTGCTTGGCTGCGGAAGAGAATCGCTAGGGGATGTGCGGGATCTGATAAGGCTTCTTCGAAGGGAAAGACTGACGGATTTTGTACTGCTTTAAGAGGTTGCTTTAGAAAAGACGGGATAATTTTGTGACGAATAAGAATTTGTGAAATAAATTTCGGAAAATGTAGCAATAACCATAACCCTCCACCGAATACTTGGGGTAGGAAGCAATTTTATGTCAAAGAAGGGGAAATCATTTTTTTTTTCACCGTCGTCTCGGATGCCCTGTCTACGACCTTTTCCATCAACCAATGGCTGATTTCGTATATATTTCCCGATGATATTAAAGATAATAACTTGAAAAAGACTTTGAGCATTTTAATGTGCTTTAACGGCCGAATATCCGCGTGTTTTTAATTTTCTGAAACAGCTGCAGAGAGTTTTTAGCAGAACTGTAAAACGAATTTTCTCTCTGTACACCCCACCCAATTCAAATAAAAAAAAACCCTTGGATCAAGGGCAGAAGACCCCGAAGGACAAACACAAAGGGTAGACCGTGGTATTCGCACTGGGTGTTCGCGTCCCTGAGAAAAAAAAACAACCGCAAAAACGCGGAGGGACTGTACGAAGGAGGTGGGCAAAACGGCCAAAGAAAAAGGGTTGAGATGGACGCCGGAGGGTTACCGAGGAAGCCGAGAAAGGATTTCAAAACGTCTGAGTGAGAGCTGGAGCAAGAAAGGAATCGTTATCCCGCTAAGAACAAAGAGACAAAAATAAAAATGCCTGCGCTCTCACGAGGGGGAGCCTCTCACCCTCGTTCCCCATGCCTATATATACCACAACCTCGAACAAAAAAAAAACCCCAAGGGAGGAAAAATAAGTGAGCAGTGGGAATGATTGACGAAACCCAAATGGACAAATTAACTTCGTCTGTAAGAATTCCGAAGGGACAAATTCACCATCGGTCTTTTACCATAAATCATTTAGAACCAATTAATATCCCGGTCTCACTCCAATTTCACTTAATCATATGATAATAAACGATTTTTCCCGATATTTCAATTATTTACTTTTTTCTTTAAATCCCTCATCAGCAATTAATTGCAACCGTTGAATCACCAAATTCAGTGGTTAAAAAATTAAATACGCGTAGAATGGTCCCCAGTTCAATTAATTCTCGAAAAAAAAAGCCGATTTATTTTGGGAACGGGAAAAGGGTGCACTAATGGCGCCAATTACTGACCGCATGGCCTCCGCCCCCCACCCATAACCTCTCGCGCATGCGTGAAAATTCATTAATAACCCGTACCCCGGTATTTCCCATCACAATTCTCTATTTGCGCTGCAAATAATAACACAACTCATGAGTTTAATCCTTGATCCCAGCGCCATATCGAGTGTCAAGTTGACGATTGTGTCTATTTGTTTGAGGACACATCCATGTTTTATTTTTTTTTTATTTTTACTGTTCCATCTCTCTTTAGCCAGTTTTCCACCCTTCTCGGTTGAATAAGCCACATTGCGTACAGAGGCACTTGTTTGTGTTCCGTTATAACCTCCTGATTGTGTCGATCCTTGTCCGCGTTAATCGTGCGCGCGTTGCGAGAACACGACTAGGCACTGGCCACCTTGACACGTATAACCGAGCAATGAGAGTGTAGTACAAATGCACGTTGATGGTTTTACCACGGCTATGCCATTATTATTTAGCTGTGGTCGTTTATAAACTACGCACGCTTTCGCACCGATGAAATGGGGATTAGACGTATGAAAAAGGTGAGAAACGCGTACTTGGCGCGAGTTTTTTCACTGCATGCATGCCCATACGTGTTTATCTACTAGATATGTCCATTGGAGTAAAAAAAAAGCGAGCGCGATGCTACAGCGGACGAGGAGAGGTAGAATCGCCTGAATCCCAGCCGCGTACTTGATGCTAGTATCAAAATTTTCCGTCTTTTGGGAAATATTTCAGAATCTGGAGGAGATAGGAAAATTTTTCTTGAATATCTTTGATAAAGCTTCGCAGGGGCTACAAAAAAAGCCGTATGGAAAATTTCAGTAGATCGTTCAGGGTCGAAGATATTGCCCAAAAACCGCCTACTCAAAGAAGAACAAGGGGTGCGACCTCAACTCATCGTGATTGGACTATGAAAGGGCGCAATTCCGGAGACCTGTATCAAGTACTTGGCGCTAGTACCAAAATCCGAAAACAATGAACCCTCTCAATAGCCTGCGCAAACCCCACGCCCCTGTACGAAAAATGCCCCTGACCAAAGAAAAAAAAAAGCAATCCCACGAAACTTTCCAACTGATAAAAACGCCTGGAGGCTGTCCACGAGTGTGACGAGAGAGAATCACGACAAAAAAATAACCTAGCGGGGAGAGAAGGGAGCCAGCAGAGCGCAACCAACAGAGTCTCTCCCTTTCTCTCTCGGTGTCCGATGAGGGGGCGAGGTACAGAGGGAAGCCACGGGCATTCTCAAACACGACGAGGTAGGGGAACAAGAGGGAAAGAGGGCGTGAGGGGGATAGGAGGGTGAAGGGAATTGACTCCGATGCCTTTAGCGTCCAGTACAAGGGGAGGCCGGTGACTGGCTCTCGCGACTGGTAGGGGAATCGCTGAATGAGGGTGACGGGTGAGGGCGGGCAGGGGGAGAACAGGGGGCAGCAATGGCGGGGAAGGGGGCAAAGGGGTGTTCAATGTGGGTCGGGGTAAAGGGGAGAGCCTTCTACATTTTGCCCGCTCTCGATGATTTGACTTCTCCGGGTTTTTGCCTCTATCCTCTCTATCTTCGGGTTTTATGAAAGAAAAATAAAAAAAATTAAAAAGAAAAAAAAAAACTCGCGTCGTCCCCGCAGGCCTGTTTTTCTAGTGTCCTTGAGGATCCAACTTCTATCTCAACCTCGGAAATGGGCACCTCACACGTGCGATACTCGGACCCCGACTTCTCTTTGATAAAGTATCTCATAGTTTATTCATTCCGCTCGATTCATCCGCCCGATTCTTCATTCTCATCGCATGTTTATTTTGTTTTTCCCCCGGGTATTTATTTATGAGTTTTGAGTGTTTTGGAATTTTTTTCAAACGATGGGATGGATTTTTGGGTTGGTAGCTTTGGGTGGAGAAAACCTTGGACGAGAGGTGTAAACACCCGTGTGGATCTGTTCAAGTAGTAAAGACGCAGGAGTCTCGGCCCAAACCAAGAATTTCTGCATGCGAATGGGGAATTGGTGAGCTCGAGGGGTCTGAATGCACTCGAGAAAATCGCTGTGACTACTTAATCGGGAGAATTATTTATTCGTTGGGGGAAAAAAATCTGTGGGAATTTTGAAAATTTTATAGCGTAGATTGTGAGGATTTTATAGCTTTAGAATTCGGGGAAATTTAGAAGTCGTATGGAACCATTCGAGGTAATATATACACAGGTGGAAAAGATGAATTCAATTCGACGAATTTTTAGAAACAGTCGCGCGTGAACTATCGATTTTATTAATTTTAAGGCTGTTTGGGAGCAAATAGTCCATGACGATTCCCTATTTCTCGAAAATTCAATGAAATAACGGTATTCTCATTAAGTGAACTCATTACGAAAACTGATTCATAAATTCCTAATAAATACTAACTTCTAACGATCCCCATCATTTTCTCGAATATTCGATTACCACAGAAGTTTCACAGAGTTTCTCTTTCCCGTTAAGAATTTCCCATTCCTCATTGAATTAAGAATTGAATGTGTCTGAAAATTTGAATTTCCAGTGGGTCTAAAAAATTGACAGGATATAATGAAAACGTATTTGTTTCACAGTATTACAGAAAACTAATCAACTA